ACTGCAGACGTTGTATAATGTATTGTCAAGTCCGTTCAAGATGTAGTTCCGGCAAAGGAAATCAGCATGTTTCCAAGCACCGACCGCAACAACCACTTGCCGGTTAGTTTCATCTTCTTTCAAAATAGGAGCATCCTCACGAAGAAAACAAGCCAGGTTCAGAGTTGTAAAATAGAACAACATTTTTTGTTGTCATCTTTTAAAATTAGTTCTTGAGAACTTCTCTGGCTTCTCACCGTGATTTACAAGTACTGTCACAACAAGAGAGGGGGTTGACGCAATTGCAGCCACCACACTAGTACTTGTTTGAGTATTTGTTTCAGTAACCATGAATTCTAAATTATAAAATAAAATTATAATTAGAATATATACTACACAGAAAATTAAACCAAATTCACATAATTAAATTCTATAAAAATAAAAGAAACAAGAAATGTAACTTTGGCAGTGGCTTTGGTCCAGTCCAAGATTAGACTGGACCGTGCTGTTGGGCCCGTGGAGGCCCACCACGGGTCCCGTTTTGATGATCCGAATCGTTCAATGTATAGAACTCATCGAGTACTATATGTCTGTAAAAAATCACGTTGATCGGATATCGATAGCTATGTGAACAAAATAGTTTTTTATCAACCGTTAATTATTTCACCATCTATTTTTTTTATACAAAACTGATTTGATCACATAGCTATTGATATCCGATCAATGTGATTTTTTACAAGCATATAGTACTCGATGAGTTATACACATTGACGGTTCGAATTATCAAAACGGGTCCAAAAAATAGGCCCCATGGGCCGAACTGAATGGGTCCAGTCTTGATCTTAACTTGAGACAAGCTGGACACTGTAACTTTTATTTTTCAATTAATTTGGAAACAAAATAAAATTTTATTTAACCAAATTAATTCCACACAAAAAATTAAATATCTGTAACACTTCAATAATTAAAATACTGTACTAAAACAGAATTTTAGTTAATGAACGCTCAGAAAATAATTTCTAAAAGCCAAAATTTAATTTCTGAAAAAATTCCACAAATAAATATTCTAAATTGTTAATGACACCAGTATATTACTACTAGTTGTCAAAGAAAATAGATATTATATTACTACTATCTGTCAAATAGTATATAATTACTATTTGTTTTTCCAACCAGAATATTATTTTGTAAATCCACAGAAAATAATTTTAGTAAGAACAAGAAAGAGAAAAGGGAACAAACGAAAAATTCTGTAAACAAAATAATTCGAATCTATCTTAAGATTGTTGGAACAATCTTCTGTGTAAATAAAATAAAATAAAATATAACTAAATCAAACAAAAATAAAATAAATAACTTACAGAATTTATTTTATCCAATCGAATGAAAAATAAAAGACCAAGTCGAGTGTGTGACACTCTGTCCTTAAGACAAATTCGCCATGTTTCGGTGTTTACGAACTAATGGCGTCTATCTCCAAGGATACAATGATCTTCACAAATTTGTAGTAGCACTCCAAACAAATTTGTCCGGCGAACTAGAACCTTGTTTTCTATACTCTTTTTAATTTTTTCTAAAAACTAATATGAAGAATTTATGAAAACAGAACAAAGTTGGACTACAAGAAAATCAATTTTCTATCTATTTTCTGAATGCAAATGACTGCTGAAATAGTTTCTATTTATAGGCAAAAGAGCATACCCGAACAGGTACATATTTGAACAAACATGTGCAAATTTTGAATGAACAGATGCAGTCCAAAATTCAACAGATCTGCTTGATAGATTGAACTATTTGAACTATGCAGTTTGTATCTGTGTAACTGTAGCAGTTTATGGCAGTTTAAAATCTGTCAAAAACAGTTTAAATCTGTTTGAAAATAAATTTGTTGAGAATCAAATGAACAGGTATGAAACTGTCTGAACAGGTATCATACAAAATTCAAACAGATCTGTAACTAAACTATCCATATTTTGAATCTGTCTGGACAGTTATGAATCTGTTCGGATTTGAACAGAATAACAAACTGTTTGGACTGAAAAATCTATTGTGGAATTTGGTTCAAAAAATAGGCACAAAATTATGGACAAAAATTTGAATTTCAAATTCAAATTTGGAATTAAATTCCTAAAAGAATTTTTTTGAAAAAATTCAAAAGAATTTTGTTCAAAAAATTAATATTAAAACTGACCCGTCCCACAACTCACACCCGCGCTCGACACGACTTACCTGGCGCACGCGTGGTAGTTTGGATTAAGGTTTGCTTTGTCCATAACTCCTCCCTTCTACAAACTTGGGGTGCCTCTTGGGGCCCAACCCAAGTGTTGTAGTCTAGAACTTATATACATACACAAACTCTCTTAAAGTTTCAATGTGGGATAACCCATATAAGGAAACCCACATTTACTTCTTTAACTATTCATTCCACGAATTCGAAAACGACGTCAACTTCCCATTCACTCATAAATGATTTTGACGAATCGTCTTCACTGTGTGACTTGCCATGCGGTAAGGAACACGTCACCTCTTCGGACCCACCCCAAAAGACGTTTGGGGCCCACTCTATTCTGGATTCAAAGTTGGCCCAAAATAAGTCTTATAAACCAAATTTTCCAACACTTAGTAGTTAGTAAAAAAATCTCTTTGGTGAGATTTTGAGTGTCACCCAAACTATTAAAATTGTCGAAATTATTATAATGGTTGGTACATTTATCATGCTATTGAATTTTACTTGTCATGATTTGATTATTTTCTCTTAAAAAGAATGGTAGGTTGGTTCCGTTTTCTTATTGTGTTGCAAAACTCATGGCTTATATTTTGTTGCCCTAGCATTTCATGCCAGATTATGTCGAAGAAGGAATTGAGGCTGAATTTGGAGCTGCTGCTAATATTGAACCTTGGCTAACTTAAAGTCAAGACTCTATCGAAATAAAATTTTATTATCCTTGGTATTAGTAATCACGAATGTTACAAAGTTGTTGTAATATTGTATGTGGACTCATAATTTAGTTGTTAAGCTTTGACTATGTGAAAATCTAAATTTTTCCTAAATAGTTGTTAAAATCTTTATTTAGTAAGTTATTTATTGTTTAAATTTTAAGATGTTCCAAAAGAAAATTTGGGGCGTCACATTGCGTTCATATTTTCTAAAAAGTAATTTGTTTTCAAATTTTTATTCTTTTGTCAAAAACAGCTTGCTAAACAAATTTTTTATTTTTTATATAATGAAAACAAAATACAAAAATACTTCAGTTTCAAAAATGGTTGAACAATTCAAATAAGTTTGTTCCCTTTATATATATATGAAATAAGGTTTCATGGTAAAGAAAAAGAGCATAAGAAAGGGAATTATAGCGAGAGTCTATTGGTGGAAGAGGATATTAGAAAAATATGTCATAGCGGGAGCTTGTCTATAGATAGAAGAGTTGTGGAGAGAGATGACAACAATAAAAATGAGTTGAGAGAGAAAGTTGCTATAGGAGAGAGACATTGCTAGTAGAAAATGAGGGGATCACTAGAGGTACATAAAGTAACAATAACGATACCTATGATAGCCAAATGTGGTGGTTGAGAATATAATTTGTGTTAAGCTTTAAAAGGTTTGGAATCTAATGATAAAGGTATGTTTGGTATCATGGTGTGCATAAGAAGAGAAAATCAAAGTTCATATTTTTGTTAAGGGAGTAACTCAAAATAGGGTGTATAGGGACAAATTTGTGGTATAAATAGAATCACTTATAATTTAGGGGCAAAGTGATAGAATTACACTAATTTGAAGGGGGTGAAGTGAATTTTTTTTTAAGGCCAAGTTTGGCTACAAAGAAAAAAGTGTACTTATTTCATCTTTTTATCTTTTTTAGGTCACATCAATCAACATCTCCTCTCTACTTTTTCTACACATAATACAAAAAAAATCAAAAAGTGCACTTATTTAGTCTTCCCAAACTAGGCCTAAATATCCAATAAATCTCAAGATATTTATAAAATAACTCCAATTCAAATGTCTAAAAAAAAAAAAATGAAATCAGAACTGTGGACGAAGTCAATCAAAATGTCGCTTTATTGATTGTGATGAAGAGAATAGTCAAGAGTTTATTTTAGAATTTGCCCACCAAACACAAAGAGGTCATTATAGGACTAGGACACTTCGAGATTGTTAGAAAAAATTGGATTGACCTCATCCAAGGGATTGCTTTGATTGTTGGCTAGTTACAATCAAACTTCCTTGTTGTGATCTCAACACCAATTTTGATGACAAGTTTGAATAAATAAAACTTGTCTGACCATAGAAATGGGTGGACATTCTGGTAATAATGAAAAAATTAATTTATTAGTTTATTAATTTATTTAGTTTACATCATTTTTTTATTTTTTATTTTTTATACTTTTTTTTAACAAACAAAAAAATTAACTTTTTGTTTACCTCCCAAAATAGGCCATTGTATTGTGTTGGTTGTGTTTTTGTTGCGTCATTTGAGATCCGTGACAGAATTATCTCAAAATTAATCTAACATGTTTGATTTTCTATGTTATCATGTTGTTGTCATTTTCATGTTGCGTCCGACACCTTTAATTACAGAAATCAATTATATAGATTTCATGAAAATATTCATTCATAAAAATGTTTGATTCCAACTCAATTTTATTTTTTCAATTTACAAAATTTATACCCTATTATTTTATGTTTTACTAGATTGACTTCAAAACAATAAACAAAAAATACATTATCTTTAAATGAAAAGAAAAATCACATTAGTTTTAAAACCCTATTTTCCATATTTTTTAAAATACAATAAGAATTCAAAAATATCTAATACCACTTAGTAAAAATAACATCAAAATATTAATTCTTCATTAAACGGTTTGTCCTATTAATTTTGTGTTATGCAGTTTGAACCACACTCGTGTTGTTTTCATGTTGTTATGTTCGTGTTAAAAAATTGTCAACAAAAACCTATTAATTTCATGTACAATTCGAATTATGTCATTGTATCACCCAAAAGCAATCTACATGACAAAAGTGACCCAAAACTGAAAAGAACTATATCATATATATTCATTACCCTGTAAAACAAAGAGAAACCATAACAAAAGCTGCTCCTCTATACCATGGCCTCTAAAATTGTCTGCCCTTTACTCCCTCTTATGCAAAATACCAAGTACAGAAACGAAACACAATGACAAAAACCATTTATGTTATCAGAAATCTACCAAACAAGGCCAAGAAGAGTGTATCTTTACTGGCATTACAGCATGAAGATCACTCCTCCAGGAAGCCGATTCAGTAGGGTGAGTAGTAGTAACCTCCCGGCTGCCCCATCCCAGTCACTGGTGGCATTCCATAAGGCATCATCATCATTGGTTGTGAACCTGGGCCATAGAAACCACCTCCACCGGCAATCTTGGCGAAACCCAATTGCCCTTGCATCCCATTATTTCCATACTGCTGCCAAATCTGTTGTTCTTGCACAAGCAAATGCTGTTTTTTCTCCATATCAGCTATCTGAACATACGCAGGAGGGGGAACCGACAACGACGCTGCAAATGGATCTTGATGCCCCACTGCTTGTACCGTGCCATCTGGGGCAGGCAATGCAAGCACTGGCGTTGCACTCTTACCTGCCATAGGCAACGCCACACTGCTGGCACTCCCACCGCTCACCTGAGAGTTACTCACATGTTGCCTCACTGTCCCTTGATCATACATGCCATTCAATAACAATGAATCAAACCCACCAGCCAAATCAGCTTTCTGATTTGACAAATTACTAGCAGTCTCAACCAATGCTAATTCCCAATTTGCTTTGCCACTCTCAGCAGCCGGTGTTTGCCACGCTGAGGTCACTTCAGGCTCTCCATTTGACGAAAACACTTCCCACGTGGTATTTACATTTGCGGTGGGTGGTCCAGAAAACAAAGCCAATGCCAATTTGTTGCTGTGATCTTCAGCAGATACTCCATCTTTCACATTGATCAATTCCTCCGTCACACGATGATGTTGCTGTGGCTTGGTCTGTGGCATGGGTCGTGGTGGAGGAGCGTAATTCTCCAGTGGAGGAAGCGCTTTTATTTCATCCATATCTTGTACTGGTTCCTCTTTCACAACCAGTGAACTATCTCCCCTACTTCTCTCAAGGCTTTTTGCCCTATTTGCCCTTTCCCTCAAAAACCCCTCAAGCGTCCCCAAAAGCTCATCACTAATTTTTTGCACCTCAGGGTACTCTGATGACCTCACAACCCCTATATCCTTACACCAATCATAAAACACCACAAGCTCATCAATCATCTTTGACGCGCCAACATAAGAATCAAAAGCTTTAACACAATCCACATACTCCATCTCCAAAAACCTATCCAACAAAACCCTCAAAACCTCACATACATCAACATAAAGCTTGAAACTCTCCTTCACAACCAGGTATAGTGCAATAAGCACCATCCTACTATTCTTCGCTGATCCAGTTGGTCTAGATGCCAAGAACCGATCAAGAAGCCTCAACAACTGATTCAACCTCTCCAAAACCCTCTCAGGTTTCATTTCCCTAATTAGGGTTTCATCTTTTCGCTGTTCTCGCCCCACAGATTCATTCACATCACCATAAGAACTTGACCTCCTATTCATCCCATAACTCGGCTCATCCCTGAACTCTCCATACCCATAACCAGCCTCGTTTCTTTGTCGATCATCAACACTCAATTTCCTGTCATACACCATGAATTCAAGCTTCTGATCAAGGTACATTGCATAAGTCCTCACAAACCCAGAATGATCCCAAGAATTTGAGTGAGCCTCATCGTGAAAATCCGACAAATTCAAAATCCTCGTCCCCCTTCGACTCACATACATAATTTCTTGCCCCAAAACAGGGTCTCCATCAACCAACAATCTGTGAACAAGCATTAAGGCCTTCAAAGCCACAATCCAATCACGGGTTTTGCTCAATCGCTTCGAAATCGCAAACACGAATGCATTAACATAGGCTTTTGAATTCCAAGTGAGGTTTAGAATCTCCCGAATGTACTTCTCGTCGGCTGGTTCATTGTCATGGCTCGTCGCCTTCACGACCAAAACCTCAAGGTCCGGCGCCACATTGCCGGCAACTTTGGCAATGCTGATGCTAGTTTGGTCCTTTACGGCCCCAATCGCCTTCCTGATCGTGCTCGGTGCCATCACCACAGCCCACCACTGGTTGATCACCCGTTAATTGTTTGTGAAAATATCTGTGAGATATATGTTTATAGCGTCAATTTTACTTTTATTCCTAACTAGCACCATTTTTTCTATTTCATCTCTAAATTATCCATTTCATCTATTTAATCACTAATTTTTTAAATTTCAGTTCATATGATCCAATTGAAAACGATTATACAAATCAATAACAGTTGAAGCCTAATTCGATGAAAAAAAAAAATTGTCATTTCAGAATTTAAACAACTTCATCAAATTAGACCTACGATCGTTTCCAATTGAACTACATGAACGGAAATAAAAAATAAAAATAAAAACTTTAAAAACTAAATAGATAAAATTGATAGTTGATAAAATAAAATAAAAGAGGGGGTGATAGCTTAGGAAATAAGGATTAGCAATTGAGATCAAGACTTGATAGATATAGTGTATGTCTACATCGATAATCATATATAGATGAAAAACTAGAAAGTTACCGATGTAGAGCAGAGAAGGGGGCGAATCTATGGAGGAAATGAGTAATGAGTGGAGTGGTGTCAACGGCGGTGAGCGGTGGAGATGGGCTTGGATTCACGGCGGTGCTACCAGAGTCTCTTCTCTCTCTCTCTCTCTCTATATATATATATGTATATGTATATATATCTACAGCTTCTCTCTCTCTCTCTCTCTCTCTAGAGTGAAAAGGCTCGGGTATGTATAACGGAGAGAAAGAGAAAGAGGAAGAGAGAGAGAGAGAGAAGACGAAAGTGAGGAAACCGCGTGTTTTTATGGGGAGAATAATGCTTAGGCCTCTCAAATGTTCTATTTAATATTTCATTAAATATTTTATATGATGTAAAATTTATATAACAAAAATAGTAGGGATTTTAAAAAATTTACTAAGGTTAAGTTTGGTATATTGTAAAAAAATTAAAAAGTCAAAAAATTACTTAAAAAGTTAAAAAGTTAATATTATTCACCAAAAGTCAACAATTATGGTTGCACAATTTTCAATTCTAATTTTTCCCTATAAATCAATTTTTACAATTTTTTATTACACATTTTTTCATAAAAAGTCAAAAAGTTGACTCAAACATCCATATTTTTTTCCTCAATTTTTTAGTCTAAACAGACAAAAAGTACACTTATTTAGGACCCCTAAACAACCCCTAAAATTTCTATGAAGAAAAATATTATGGATTCTAAATAAATTATTAAATTTTTTTCTAAATCTCTTATATAGGTGTGGAATCCATACAAATTACATGTGGGTCTCATACCCACGTGAGAGATTTGATGGTAGAAAATTTGATAATTTATTTAGATCCCTAGCATAATTCTTCTACCAAATGTTTCACATGATGTGGGCCAGATTCATATTGTGTGACTCTCACACCTATATAAGATATTTGGTATATATTTTGATAAAATTTTTAAAATCTTTAGCATTACTCTTTACATAAAATTTGTATGATATCGATTTCAAATGTTATATTAAATGTTTTATTAAATATTTTATATGATGTAAAATTTATATAAAAAAAATATTAGAGATTTTAAAAGTTTTATTTAAATTTCTATCAAGAAAAATATTATGAATTCTAAATAAATTATCAATTTTTTTTTATCAAACTTCTTATATAAGTGTGGGACCCACACAAATTACATGTGGGTCCCATACCCATATGAGAAATTTGGTGGTAGAAAATTTGATAATTTATTTAGATTCTTAACATAATTCTTCTACCAAATGTTTCACATGATGTGGGTCAGATTCACATTGTGTGAGTCTCACACCTATATGAGACATTTGATATATATTTTGATAAATTTTTTAAAATCTTTAGTATTACTCTTCACATAAAATTTGAATGATATGAATTTCAAATGTTATATTAAATGTTTTATTAAATATTTTATATGATGTAAAATTTATATAACAAAAATATTAGAGATTTTAAAAGTTTTACTAAAATTTCTATCAAGAAAAATATTATGAATTCTAAATAAATTATTAATTTTTTTACCAAACTTCTTATATAAGTGTGGGACCCACACAAATTACATGTGGGTTCATACCCATATGAGAGATTTGGTAGTAGAAAATTTGATAATTTATTTAGATTTTTAGCATAATTCTTCTACCAAATGTTTCACATGATGTGGGCCAGATTCATATTGTGTGACTCTCACACCTATATAAGATATTTGGTATATATTTTGATAAAATTTTTAAAATCTTTAGCATTACTCTTTACATAAAATTTGTATGATATCGATTTCAAATGTTATATTAAATGTTTTATTAAATATTTTATATGATGTAAAATTTATATAACAAAAATAGTAGGGATTTTAAAAAATTTAGTAAGGTTAAGTTTGGTATATTGTAAAAAAATTAAAAAGTCAAAAAATTACTTAAAAAGTTAAAAAGTTAATATTATTCACCAAAAGTCAACAATTATGGTTGCACAATTTTCAATTCTAATTTTTCCCTATAAATCAATTTTTACAATTTTTTATTACACATTTTTTCATAAAAAGTCAAAAAGTTGACTCAAACATCCATATTTTTTTCCTCAATTTTTTAGTCTAAACAGACAAAAAGTACACTTATTTAGGACCCCTAAACAACCCCTAAAATTTCTATGAAGAAAAATATTATGGATTCTAAATAAATTATTAAATTTTTTTCTAAATCTCTTATATAGGTGTGGAATCCATACAAATTACATGTGGGTCTCATACCCACGTGAGAGATTTGATGGTAGAAAATTTGATAATTTATTTAGATCCCTAGCATAATTCTTATATCAAATGTTTCACATGGCGTAGCTTAGATCCACATTGTGTAAGTATCACACCTATATAAGATATTTGATATATATTTTGATAGAATTTTTAAAATATTTAGTATTACTCTTTACATAAAATTTGTATGATATGAATTTCAAATGTTATATTAAATGTTTTATTAAATATTTTATATGATGTAAAATTTATATAACAAAAATAGTAGGGATTTTAAAAAATTTAGTAAGGTTAAGTTTGGTATATTGTAAAAAAATTAAAAAGTCAAAAAATTACTTAAAAAGTTAAAAAGTTAATATTATTCACCAAAAGTCAACAATTATGGTTGCACAATTTTCAATTCTAATTTTTCCCTATAAATCAATTTTTACAATTTTTTATTACACATTTTTTCATAAAAAGTCAAAAAGTTGACTCAAACATCCATATTTTTTTCCTCAATTTTTTAGTCTAAACAGACAAAAAGTACACTTATTTAGGACCCCTAAACAACCCCTAAAATTTCTATGAAGAAAAATATTATGGATTCTAAATAAATTATTAAATTTTTTTCTAAATCTCTTATATAGGTGTGGAATCCATACAAATTACATGTGGGTCTCATACCCACGTGAGAGATTTGATGGTAGAAAATTTGATAATTTATTTAGATCCCTAGCATAATTCTTATATCAAATGTTTCACATGGCGTAGCTTAGATCCACATTGTGTAAGTATCACACCTATATAAGATATTTGATATATATTTTGATAGAATTTTTAAAATATTTAGTATTACTCTTTACATAAAATTTGTATGATATGAATTTCAAATGTTATATTAAATGTTTTATTAAATATTTTATATGATGTAAAATTTATATAACAAAAATATTAGAGATTTTAAAAGTTTTATTTAAATTTCTATCAAGAAAAATATTATGAATTCTATGTCTTCTTGGCCTAAGACCGAGCTACACCAGCCCTTATCTCGGCCCATTACGCGGTCCAACTCCCAAAGAGGACTTTTCCTAGCTTAGCCCAATTTGTTTACAAATTACCCTCTCAATTGCCCTTTAATTTCATCTGCATAGCATGATTGGGATTATTTTTCCTCCAGCCGAGCTAAGAACCCCCATTCTGCCGAGCTAAAAAATTTGTTCGGTTTCACAGCTTGTTCGGCCCTAACAAGCCTTGTCAGTTGCTCAACATGTCTTTCCACTAATCTGGTACGACGTCATTTCCAGGATACATGGCGTGCCCCCATATACCTCTAAAATTTTGAACAACCCCTGCTTTTTTGCCTTTAACGTATATATCCTTCGAGTTTGTGATCGTACGGCGAGTCACTCTTTCTGTGTCTCGCCGAGCAGACTAACTTGGTTTATACTAACCCTGTCAACCTGCTTTAGCTGAGATAACCATCTCGGTCCAAGATTTCAAAAATTTGTTGGTCAAACCTGTCAACCTGCTTTTGGCCGAGGTAACTGTAGACACCTCATTTTTGACCGTCCTCGAGACTTGATTGTGCTTGCAGGTACACCCAACAACTAGTTCAATTGCTCGCTGAGTACTTGACTGTCGCGACGGAATGTCACCGGTTCGAGCTTCCTGGATCCTATATCCTTTCTGTCTTTTTTTTTTTGGACCTTGACTAGGTCCTTTCAAAGTGACCTTCTTGGTGCACTGCTGGCCATGGAATGGCACTGTTGGCCATTTACTTGTGCCTGCCGGCCATCAGTGAGCCACTGCCGGCCATTACTGATGGCCGGCACCCCCCTGTCTCAGCTGGTTTTCCTCCAGATCTTTTGAGCCAGCTGGTTTTTTGTTTTCTGCCCTCCATACACGTGTATGGAGGGATGGAGCTCTTAAAAAGCTTCTTGAAGAAGCGTTTTCTTGCTCTTTTCTATATAAGCAAGAGGGCTCCCTCTATATCAGAGGTTCAGCACTTTGACAAGAGAGATAGCTCTCTCTCTATATAATTGTTGTTTTAGTCCCTTTTCCTTGCATTTTTGCACTACACCTCCTAGCACAACACCTCCACCACCCATTCCATCACCTTGGAACTGATTTACAGAGGTTGAAGACTCACTTTCTTGGTCCAAAAGTTGCTACATTGCTGTGCTATAAGGGTAAATCCTCATTTCCCTCTTTTTGCATTATTTTGCTCTATACCTTAGCTCCATTTGCAAGCATTTTTGAGTTTTGGCATGAACTGAAAAGTGTTTTATTTTGAGCCCCTCTTGAAGTTTGATTAAGGATACTTTTCTGTTTGAGGTCATCTACCTCCTTGTATGCTCCATCTCTCTTTTAAGGCTTATTTTGCATCATATCTTAGCCTTACTTGCAAGAATTTTCGAGCTTTATCATAAACTGAGAAAAGCCTTATTTTGAACTCCTCTTGAAGTTTGTTTAAGGTCTCTTTTCTATTGGGGGTCATCTCCCCCCTTGTATGCTTGCTTGCATTTTGTTTTGAGCCTTGCTCCTAGGCCTTTGTTTCATGCTTTGTTTGGCCTTCTAGCCACTGAAATCCAGTAGATTTTCAGTGGCTAGCATACTATTTTGAGAGCCAAAATTAGAGGGGGGTGACCCCCTCTCTCCTTGTCTTGTTTGTTGGCCTTTTTGGCCTTCCAAAGGGGCTCTATCTTGCATGCTTTGAAGTCTTGTTTCAGGCCCTATTATATGAGTTTTGAGGTCTGCCTTAGCTCTGTTCGGAGCCCCTTTGGCCATATTTTACGTCTATGATGCATGTGTAGAACAATTCCATTCAAGGCCTTTCAAAGGGGCCTTTCATTGCATGCTTCCTAGACCAATTTCAGGCTCTTCATTGACTCCTTTCAGGCTCTTTTTGGTGGGTTTTAGGACCCTCATAAGTCATTTCCAGAGTTGGTTTTGCCATGTTAAGTGTCCTTGTTGCATGTGTAGAGTAACCTCTCTTGTAGCCTTTCAAAGGAACTCATC